CTGCCAACAGCTTCATACAGTACGTTCCAGTTCCCTGTCCTCTACATCAAAGTTACCATGGGTCTGTTTTCAAGAATTTATGTTTTTAAGCTCTGGCAAAAGTTTTTTTTTTATGTTCTAGGTCTTGGTTAGCAAAATTCGGGCAAACACCATTCGTGCTTATACCATGCAACAGTGACAGGATGCTTACAATTGACTCAAGTGGAGGAGTGCGTTCATTTGAGTTGTCTCCTTCTACTCTCGGGAGATCATACAATGAATGGATTCGTTTAGTAGGAGGTGCACATGATACTCTAGAAAGTCTTATGTATAACTACACTTACGTTTTACAGGAGCTGAAGACCAAGATTTACGATTAGAGTTTGAAAGTGAGGATAAGTTCGATATCTCAAAACTTCTTGATCCAAAAATTGGGAAGTTTGATCCTAAAAATGCCCCACACCATGGTGGAAATCAATGGATGGGTGGCACTGGTGGATACAGCACTGCTGGTTTGGGTGGAGCTGGAGGACCATTCAGGTGATCCTCTATGATAAGCGAATTTGAAGGCCTGTGGCCAGATCAATTACAGGACAAAATTTTTGTCCTTTGTCTTTGCACCTATCAAACAAAGTTTTTCCAGTAGATGTTACATATGTTTTTGCAGCTGAATCATTTCTAGTCAGTTATTATGGCTTCCATGATTTGAAATTGTGTGATCCGTCTCATCGTTGGCCCACCTTTTTGCATATCGTCTTCTCTCCCTTGTAGTTAATAAAGTTATTCTCCTTTTCAGGCTAGATGCAGGGCATGACGTGCATCAAATGCCTGATTCCGCTAAACGGCAGGTTCCGGAGCACATTTTGCAGAAGGCCAGAGAAATTGCAAAAGCTGAATATCAGAAGAAACTCAAGGCATAACACTTCTTCATATAACATTTCATTATGATTGAATTTATAACGTGGCATTTTTAAAATTTCTTTCGCTTCACTGAGCTTCATTGACGAAGCCTTGAATTTTCCAATTTTGAACTTTTGAAGTTGTAAGACTGGAGCTTGTTTTAAAGACTCTTTTTAAGGAAATCGCCATGTCAGAATATGATGCAGATGCGTATATGTCGCTTTGGAGTAAAATTGAGAAACACTCCAATCTCTTACGATCTGTTGTTGAACAGCTAGAAGCGAAGGAAAAAGAGCGATTGTGGGCTCGCCACCAAACTACTGGGGATCTTGATGATGGGAAGCTTATTGAAGGGATCACTGGAGAGAGAAATATCTACAAGTGAATCTGGTGTTATGCAAAAAGCTTTCATGTAATTTCAACTTTCAGGCGTCGGATAGATAAATTACCTGAACCAGGTGCTCCACAGTTAAAACCAAAAAGGATGCGGCTGTGTTTTGACGTGTCAGGATCGATGTACAGATTCAATGGTTATGACAAGAGATTGAACAAATCTCTTGAAGCAGCCCTGATGGTTATGACATCATTCGAAGGCAAAGACGATAAGATTATTGTAAGCAATGTTACATAATCTGATATTTTGTTACGAAATTTATTTTTTTTAAAGTATGACATTACTGGCCACTCTGGAGATGGTCCTTGCACGGAATTTGTCAAGGAAGGACGATATCCTCAAAATAACAAAGAGCGCCTAGATATCCTAAAACAGATGCTTGCTCATACTCAGGTAATACATAAATATTTCCAGACTCAGGATTTCTTGAGATTCATGCATTTCGGATTTATCCTTTACCAAACTTTCAGTTCTGTGCTAGTGGAGATTTCACTATAGAGGGCCTTGAAGATGCGATACAAAATTTGAGCAACAAGAAAGACTGTGACGAAAAATTTGTTGTTCTCATTTCTGATGCGAACTTGGACAGATATGGAATATCCCCGAAAGATCTCATAAGGGCTATGAACAAAAGTGAAGATGTTCGTTCATTTGTAATATTGATTGGATCTCTTGGTGAACAGGCTGCCAGGTACGATGGTTCATACTCTGCCAGAAAATCCAAAGTGCGATTGATCTATTTCCAGGCTCAAGGAGGCATTACCAGTTGGCAAGGCATTTGTTTGTGAAAACACATCTGATCTCCCAAAGATTATGCAAACCATTTTTACATCCACACTTGCGTGATAACTCCTTGAAAATTAACTGCTCAATGTGTAAAGTTGTGTCAACTATTCTTTTACACAATTTAATTAAAACTATTTTTCAGAAGCAAGTTCGAAACTTCTGTTAGACTTCATAGGTGACAAAATGAACTAGATGGCTAGGATGTAGGAAAACGCTCGACTTATTTTCAAGTTCTAAAGAGATTGATTAGCAGCAAGGAGATTGTGTGAGCTTGTGAATAATCACTCACAATATGCCTTCTTATATTACT